TATGAGTAGTATTAGAAGTGTTTCTAGTGCTTTTGCCAATGAGAAGAATAAGGTAGTCTCCAATAAAACTTACCATATCAAAATATGCATGGAAAGGGAGAAAGGGCAGAAGAGTGACTTTCCTAAAACCGAGGTGTAGCTTAATCTATACGTACAAACCTAATAAAGTATGTCAGCTGAGATTTAAACATAGCCAATATATGTGTTAAGGACTGTCCAAGGTAGCACAATTCAATCTGGGCAACTTGGGCCATCTGGTCCCTTAGAGTGGTCTCTGCTGAAGAAGGGTGGATATTTAATCAAGCATCATCACAAAATGCCTGAAATGCCCCTTGCTACCTACCTCACATCACTTCAATCCTACAGTCATCAAGTAACCTTCTGATTATGCTACAAGGAGAGGATGGGTTGTGGTTTGGAGATATGAAAATTCTGGTAATTGGAATATCTTTGATCATAACTGTAACTTGATAAAGTGATTTCTTTTATGTATATTTATTCATAATATCAGACACATACAATCTTAGTAGATACTGACCATGTCCAGTTACTGCCAAAGGCCATTCGGCTACACATTTCTAGATCAAATTCTAAAATGATGTGTCCTATCTTCTTTAATTGTAGACACTCAGTAGCCACTAGCCAGTGCCTGAAATAAGAAGTTTAGATGTTTGCTGAGTGAATAAATTACATACACACAAAACTAATCCATTTTGAGACTTCTTGATAGCCAACCAGATTTCCCCTGGAGATTTCAAATTCTGTCTCTTTGCATATGGTCTCTCTACTTAAACTTTAGTAAAGACATTTGTTCATTAACATTCTTTATATAAGAATTCACAACGTAACTTCCTTCTATATTTTAGTGCCAGAAAAAATTATCAGGAGAAAAACTGAGTGCTTTCTTCTACCAGATATAAAATCATTATCCACCATCTTTTCTCTCAGCTGCCAGAAAATTCTAAGACATATTTACATATAATCACAATGACTATTATCTTCTGATAAAATTTCTCCCTTAAATATTTTTATCTTTATTTAAATATTGCCTACTGACTTCCTATAGTAAGAGAATTTCGCTTAAGACATGTTCTTCTTCCTTCCCTTTTATTCCATCTCCTAACATTGTTATACAGATTGAGCAACTCTAATCTCAAAATCTGAAATGCTCCAAAATCTGAAATTTCTTTAGCATCAACATGATGCTTGAAGGAAATATCCATTCAAGCATTATGGATTTCATATTTTTATTAGGAATGCTCAACTGGTATATATTCTGCACATATTCTAAAATAAAAATCTCAAAATCCAAAACACTTATGTTTCCAAGCATTTTGGATAAGGCATACTCAACCTGTATTACCATTTTAGATGCTGTATTGATTACCTCCATAACTTTAATCAACTACAGGGGAGGAAAATAATCTTTTATCTGTCCATTTTAGGAGCCCCAGCTGGGGCTCCATAACAAAAGACAGATAAACAGGAGAAAAGCATACAAATTTATTTAACATAATTTTTTCATGACACAGAAGATTTCAAAAGGAAATAAAACCTCAAAGGGGCAATAAGAGTTGGATGCTTACATACTAAATTGGACAAAGAGTGGTAAATTATGAAAATGTGACAAGACAGAGAGGCTGGGGCTAGGGCAGAAAATGGTGGAACAATAAGAAGAGAAGAGATATATTTTGGATGTTTGTCCCCTCCAAATCTCATGTTAAAATGTGGTCCCCAGTGTTGGAGGAGAGGTCTGGTGGTAGGTGTTTGGGTCATGAGAGCAGATCCCCCATGAATGGTTTGGTGCTGTCCTAGTGGTAGTGAGTGAGTTCTGTATCAATTCATGCTAGAACTGGTTCTTTTAAAGAGCCTGGAACCTCCTCCACTCTCCCTTGCTCACTCTCACTATGGGATACATGGTATCCCCCTTCTACTTCTGCCATAATTTTAAGTTTCCAGAGGCCTCACCATAAGCTGGTACCAGGTTGCTTGTATAGCCTGAAGAACAGTAAGCCAAATAAACCTTTTTCTTTATAAATTATCCAGCCTCAGGTATTACCTTATAGCAATGCAAATGGACTAATACAATAAGTTAGTTTAATAAGGTTTGTTTGTACAGGTTTTTTTAGCCCTGGTGACAAAAATGTTACTTTCCTTCTGGTAGAGAGAGGACATCTTCCATATGGGAGTTTTATATCCTGGTTTTAGGAAGAAAAAGGGGTAGTCAAAGCATCCTTCTTGCATCTGCTGTTTTAAGCTCAAAATAATTCTTTTGCCAAAATGGCATATTTGGGGTGGCATATTCCACTACCCTTCAACATATATACTCCCTCTACCAGAGACATATTTCTTAATATCTCTCTTCTCTCCATCATCCCCCTCATAAAATGAGGATATAAACATGACTTTTCCTGTTAGGTCTCTTTCTACCCCTCTTCTTCAATCTTCCAGCTTTTAACAACTTTCTTTTTATGTGATCATAAAAAGATACTTAAATTCTGTGCTATAATCAATGTTTACTGTGGTTTGCCTATGAAATGATTCTAAAACAGTATATTACTGACCTATGTAGATATCTTTCACTAAAGAGCTCAGTAGTAGTATATTTTTAAAACATTATTTTCTGTATTGCTTTTTGATTTCCTGAAGCTCCTGTGTTTCCTTTTCTTTTGCAATATGCATTTTTCATTTCCTTTGCTATGGTAGCACTGAGCTAGAAGTCAGTTCCAGGGTCCCCATTCTGCCAGTACCTTGTTACATGGATGAATAATCACTTGTTTGAAGTTTACATGGAACATGACAGCCTTGGCCTTTTAGAAAGTTGTCACTCTAGATAATCTCCGATTTAGGCATTTTTCAGGACTTCAAAGGAAATACGTTCTTCATTACTGGAATTTGTAACACAAATCAGCTTCATGAAAATACAAAGTTAATAAAGGCATTCCATATGACTAGGAGGAAAAAAATACCTTAGTGTTAGAATAAAAGTAAAATTCTAAATACATAGAAACTTTATAGAATCTAGGATGAAAACATATACTTAAAAAATACAATGAGCAAAGTCAAAAGCTAAGAAGTTGGTCTGACAGAAACCAACAAAACACTCCCAAAAGTAATGAAAAGTATATGTAGTATTCAAGACAAATATAATACTTCTAACCTTTTAGGTTTCAAAATTGGTCTCAAGAACAGGCTAAATATGTATTCCTCTTTAATCAAAATAGTTTATTCATGCTTAAACCATGTAGACAAGCTTAAGACTTCTTTCTAACAAATTCTTTCTAACAAATTCACCTGTCAACCAAATGCTTTCCCTGTGTAAGAAGCTATTCTAGGCACCAAGAACAAAGCTGAAAAACCAGATGTTGTGTTTAAGTACTTGGGAGTCTAGTGGACATGTCTCTGATTTATTTCAGACATGAAAGCAATAAATCACAATATACTGTACAGGGTGCTATGTGAATAGGGAAGAGTTTATCAGTCTGCTTTGGCTGCCATAACAAAATGCCACAAACTGAGTGGCTTAAACAACAGAAATTTATTTTCTCACAGATCTGGAAGCTGGAAGCTGGAAGCTCAAGATTAAAAGGTTGGCAAGACTGGATTCTCTTGAGGCCTCTCCTGTTGGTCTTCTCATTGAATCCTCACATGGCCTCTTCTTTGTACGCATACATTCTAGATGTCTCTTCCCTTTCTTAGAAGAACACCAGTCATATTGGATTTGGACTTCACCCAACAGCCTCATTTTACTTTAATTACTTTTAAAAGGTCCTATCTCTACATACAGTCATTCATTCTGTGAAGCACAAGGGGCAAGACTTCAACATATGAATTGTAAGCAGACACAATTCAGCCTGTAACATAGAAGGTGGTAGTAAAAATGGAGAAGAAGGGACAAATGGAAAGATAGGAAGTAGAAATTAACATGACTTGATTGTTTGATGAGTTAATTATATACAAGAGCTATGGAGATCTGCCTGATTTTTTGTTTAGGCAATCAAGTCTCTGCTGGTGCATTTGTCAAAAAATGAATGCAGAAGAAGTCTTAGTTTGGCCCCTCAAAAAGTGAGCACTTCAATTTTCAAAATGTTGTGGTTGAAGCAGTAATTTCTAGCTAAAAGGTAGGTCAAAGTCAGAGCTTAGGAAAAAGTAGTATAGATAGAAGTCAAGGGTATGTGAGACTGCCCACAAAGAAAATTTAAAATAAGAACAAAAGGGAATGAAATTCTGGTGAATAATCCTAAAGGGTAGTTGAAGAAGCAGAAGGCAAATATAAAAGCTGTGAAAGTTTATCAAGAGAGACAAAGAATCAGAACAGAAAAAAATGGCACAAAAATTAAGGGAGAGAAGAATTAACTTGGATATAGTTGTTAATTCCTAAACCTTTTAAAGAAGCTTAGCGATATTTTACCTCAAGGATCATAATATATACTTTTTAATGAGTTCTAATATGCTTATGTTAGTAAACTAGAATATAATTTTTGATTATTTCTCACTATCCAGAATGTGTTCAAAATACCCTACTGATGTCATAGAGTTTTCATTACAGCTTTTGCAAATTTCAAATCTTTAGAATGAAAAACTATCTCTAAAGCCAAAATATGATGCCATATATCTTATAGTAATATGTAAATTAATTTTTTTCAGTATTGATTATTCTTGACAATACCCCTATTTATATTGGAATACAAATGCTGAGGTCAGATACAAAACAAAAGCTACCTATAACAATATATATGCCTTAAATACTGTAGAGGTTGTAAGATATCTAATGGATTAATATTTGAACAATATAACATCTTGGAATGTCCTGCTCTTAGAGCACTAAGTAGTTTGAAATCTTTTCATGAAATCTACTTGAGTGACACTAACAATTTTATGCAGAAAACTGAAAACAAGTTGCATATGGGAGTAACATTCATCAGCTATACTGTAAATATTATTTGGAAGCAATCAGATAGAGACACTTTAAAATTCCACATCACTCTGGAGAACCTAAGGCACAGATACAAATGATTTATTATGTTTTTAAAAAGTGACAAAAGGGAGTATTAATTCTGGAAGATTTTTAATCAATTTAACACTATTATACATTAGAGGAAAAAATTTTGTACAAACATTCCCTCACAAAGCCAGTAGTTTTATATTTACATGGCATTATTATGGTAATTTAAAATGCTAATCTATGATACAATGTTACTTCAGAAAACATATAATAAAATATAGTTGTTTTATAGCCATGCTCCCATTTTTGATGAAAGCTAGTTAGCTCATTCTAATGTTAGTTTAATACTTTAAAAATGCATAATAGATATTCAGTCAGCATTACACAACCTTTAAGACAGAAGTCTGTCAAACAGAATAGACAGAGGGCTCATCATCACTTATGTCTGAATCTTCATCTACTCCTTCAATAACTGATTTCTTCCCTTTACAACAGGATACAATTAATCCAATCAAGAATACCTGTAAATTCAAATAAGCTATGTGTTATTTTTCAAATTTAAAATCATTTGTAAAGTAATGCTTTAAAATTCAATGACAGTACTATGATATAAATAGACTACTAATATACAAAGAGTTTACCTGTTTAACTATAATTTACCAAGGAAGGTCAAATCATGCCGCAGGTATCTGTACTCACCCCAAGAAACGCCCAGTTACCAAAATAGTAAGCAGCACTGAAGAACCAGAACTTGTGAAGGAATAGGTATGTCCGGGTAACAGTACACTGATCTGTAAAACCAAATACAGTAAAAGACTATGATGAGATAGGTTCTTTCATAAAATTGATGATTAATACTTTCTCTAAAAGCGAATAACCAAGATCATACGGCTAATAAGTGTCAGAGATGGGACTGAAATTTAGGCCTCTCTTCAAAAGCCACTCTTTCAGTCACCTTAATGTAGTGTTAAAAACTGCCAACTAATATGACATATTTTTTTTAAAATGAATGCTGCCAATGCAATCCAGATCTTAGGCATAAAAAATTATTTTGGCTAGTTTGCTTTATTAGAAATAGAAAAATCACTTTTACTTGGAGTATCAGACATATCCTAAAACAAAATAGTTTTCCTGATGAACATCAAGAAAAAAGAACAAAGTAATCAGATGTGGTTAGTATTAAGTTGCACGTGTAGGCGCAGAAAGGTCTAAAACCTTTCCTCACCCACTGTAAGTTTCATGGCCAACACTCCTATAACAGAAGATAGGTTAACAAGAGAAAAGCATAACACATTTATTTAATCAATTTTACATGACACAGGAGGCTTCAGAAATGAAGACTCAACGACTCCAGGGGAAACTGTATATTTTCATGCATAGTCAATGAAGAATGGAGAGCTAAGAGCTAAGAATAGAGAATAATTAGACAAAAGTGTATAACCTAATGGTAACAGATTGAGCGGGGAAAGCCAGCAAGGTCTGTATGTTCAGATTCTTCTTGGTCTTTCTATACAGCATTCCCTTCTTCATGGTATAGGGCAGAACACCTTCTGGAATGAGAGTTTTATGACCTACTATCAGACAAGGTAGGTCACAGAATTTCTTTATGGCCAGCTCCTACATAAAAAGGTGAGGGAAGTTTAATATTTCTAGGTTTATGGCTGGCTTTGGGGAAGTGGGGTTCTAATTTCTATGACATGGTTGGGGTAAGAGAAATTCTAGTTTCTATGGTCTGCCTTGGGAGAAAAAGGGGAACAAAAGAAAGAAGGGCAAGAGAAGACCAAAAGGATACTTTGCTTCTGGGGCTCTTTCAATATCCTTCAGTTCAAAGTACTTAGCATGTATAGTGTGTGCTATCATTTGCTTATCCCCAAAACACTTTTCTAAGAAACAAAATCTCAGTGCAGCTCAAACTTGAGAGGTTTCTTTTAGCTTTTAGCTTTTTACGACTGCTACTGAATGAATGGTTGCTTCTTCTAAAGAAATTAAATTACATAGATGGGTGTTTTTATGTCTTCTACCACTTTCCTAGAACTAGTACAACGCTTAACTGTGCCAGTCCCCAGTTCACCAACTTTGTACCCAGTTGTCATCTCATTCAAATATGGGTTTACTTGGAGACAGTGGCCATAGCTAAGTTACTTGGCATGTTTGACTTTTGACAATAATAAAAATGGTTTTGGATTTTATTTCCAAAAAATGTATACAATGTCGGAACTTCACATTTTATATACTAGTATCTGGCTATTAGTATTTTACAGGAGCCATAATTCTTGGTGACCCCACACACACACACACACACACACACACACACACACGACTTTTTTGTAAACTGTCATTTCAATGTTACAATCATTTTTAGTTATTGTAATCAATGTGAATGTCATATTTTTTTCAAATTTGTTCTGAGCCTATAGTGTTTGCTTTGTGAACATAAGTGTATTGTATATATTCTGTATAGTTATATTGTACTGAAATATTAGCTTGTTTGATATAAGGAAAATATGTATTGAGTATCTTTTTGCTAGCCTGATTGTTTAATCTTTTTAAAAAAGGTTTAAACTTTTTTTTTTTAATATTTAAATTGGCCTTTAATACATGGTCACAAATAAAGTTGCAGTTAGGAAAGGGATGGGCAGAAGGCAACTAGTTTTGAGCATCTTTAAATAGAAATATGAGACTAAGGTTTGGTTTTGTTTTTGTTTTCTCATTAAAATATCTTATGCTTTATGGAAAAAAGAAAATCATTATTTACTGATATGATTCCTGTTGGAACTTCAGATAGCAGTATAGCTATAATTAAAAATAAATATATTTTTCTCCTTCAAATAAAATGTAAGTCTTAAAGAGAAAGTAGCAGACTGGTTATTTCATATTTGTGTAAACCCCATACTAGTTTTGTCCAAATACATTATTTCCATTAGGTTACAAAGTCATTGACCCAATTGACACATATATAGTAAATGATGTCTCAGGAAATATTTATTCAAGCCATTCAGAAAGGCCTGTGGCAACACGATACAGCTGACTTCAAACAAAACAGGTTAGAGGTACCCACCACCATGTGCAGACAAAAATCCACATATAACTTTTGACTCCTCCAAAATTTAACTACTAAATAGCTTAGTGTTTTCTGGAAGCCTTACCAATAACACAAACTGTTGATTGACCCATATTTTGTATGTTATGTGTATTACATACTGTGATCTTACAATAAATTAAGCTAAAGAAAAGAAAGTGTTACTCAGAAAATTATTAAAAGTAAAAATATATTTACTATTCATTAAGTGGAAGCAGATTATCATTAAGGTCTTTATCCTCATTGTCTTTACATTGAATTGGCTGAGGGGGAGGGGAAGGAGGGAAAAGAGGAGGGGTTAGTCTTGCTGTTTCGAGGTGGTAGAGGTGGAAGAGGCAAAGGAAGTAGAAGAGGAGGCAGGAGAGGCAACTGCAACTTTTCTAATGTAGATGGCAGGGTGATGGATGCAGCAAACCATACACATACACTATGGCACGTGTATACCTATGTAACAAACCTGCATGTTCTGCACATGTACCCCAGAACTTAAAGTACAATTTGAAAAAAAAAAAAAAAAATCCGGCATAAGTGAACTCATGCAGCTCAAATCCATGTTGTTCAAGGGTCAACCATATTATGTAATTGAGTGAAACATTATATACAGCTAGTGCTCGACTTAGGACGACCACAATTGGTCCGACAGACCGGTCGTAACACGATTTGGTCGTAAGTTGAGTAGGCTATATGTACAGTACTGTGAAATGATGTTATAAAAATCTTTAAGTCATATCTTATCATAATTTTCTTTCATTATTGTTATATATCATAATTTTCTTTGTTCATTTTATGCCATTTGTATCATCTCTACACCATTTTGTTTCTTATTTTTATATTTGTCAGGTTTAAGTAAAACACTGCATTACCAGTAGTAAAAGTTGACCTGAATGCTTATTATGAAAGCATTCTGGTCAAATCTCATTTTTAAAAAGGCACCTTAACTTGTGGTAAAAGCGCAGCTTTGTGTAAAACTGTGGAATATTCAGATCACTGAACCACGGTGGTCTATGGTTTGAAGTGAAAAACCACGGCACATGATGAGTTTTGAAAAGCAGAAGAGTATGAACTATGTTAAGTCTTAGGGTTGAAAAGGACTAGTTGCCAGGTATTTATTTATTATCATTGTAAATAGAAAAGTAAATCATCACAACTTTATGTGACTTTCCATGGGATACAAATATGTAGCATTCATCATAAAAGATGTCATCTGGATATCTTGTTCAAATATAATTTAAACTTAGTATGTTCTAATATTGTTAAAGATACAGGGATATAAGCCACTCACATTTTAGTAAGAAAGGCAAGAAAATGACTAATAATGATATGATATAGCATATATGTTTATTGTCCCACACTGTCGTACACCCAGCTGGGCAACATTTGCGCTGCCAGATGCAGAGCGGTTGTGGCTAGCTATTGTGGTCGTAAAGTCGAATGGTCGTAAGTTGCATAGGTCGTAAATCAATCAATACCTGTATGCTGCACCTAATAGAGGATACCAACCTCACAAATTTCAGAGGGGCTGTATATCTAACAGAAGAAAATCCTTATCTTACAAAGCAACTTCTTCTCAGTCTGTTAATTACAAAAGAAATTATAACTTCTGCATATTTTTATCCAAAATGGACAATGGCAAAAAGATGCTACATGCAATTAGGAGACCAATCCCATATCCTATTTCTAACCATGAAAATACACCTTTTATTTTTCTGAGCTCTCTTCTTAGCTTCAATAAGTAAGTGCTATTTTCTTTCAAAACATAAATTGAGCTGAGGGCTACATATTCCAGCTTATTACATAAGGGATCTAATAACACTTTTTCTTGTTCCTGTCACATGGTTTTCTGAAAATAGCATTAAAGCTATATTTTATCAACATATAAGACTTGTTATATAAAGCTTCAGATATGTTATATAAAGATTTGGATAATCTAAATTTTATCAACTCTAAACCCTTAAACTGTACTTCAACATTTACTTCTGAATTGCTCAATACCAAACTGAACAAACTTCTTTCTGTAGAAAAACATACAATTTAACAGAGAAGCTATCTATTGATCCCAAGGGCACCCTTCAAAGTATTTCTTCTCTTTATCAACAGAAAAGTCTAGAAGGAATATTCACACTTTTCTAAGAAAACCAGAAGGGCTTTAAGCAGCATTAGCTGAACATATTTCTGTCTCCTATAGTTAGCACAGATGATTAGAGCTTTACACTAGGTGCTGGGAGTTCAGGCTCGCAGCAGAGACTCCTAGATAGAAAACGTCTTTGTCATTTACTTTGTACTGCCACCACACTGTATTGTCACTTTTATTGTAGAACTTACTTCACAGCGATATAGCTGTTCAATTTGTAATTTTTTTCCAGTAGATATACTGAGTATTGTAAAATACCATTGGAGTACTCAATCGATTAATATTCAGTGACTGCTGAAGTAAAATAAATGTAAAAGGGGATATTTCATTTAAAATTCATATTGTTAAACAGCACATTTTCTTTCTTTCTTTTCTTTCTTTCTTCTTTCTTTCTCTCTCTCTCTCTCTCTCTCTCTTTCTCTCTTTCTCTCTTTCTTTCTTTTTTCTTCTTTTTTTTTTTTTAGACAGAGTCTTGCTCTGTCACCAGGCTGGAGTGCAGTGGCACGATCTCGGCTAACCTACACCTCCCGGGATCAAGAGATTCCCCTGCCCTCAGCCTCCCAAGTAGCTGGGACTACAGG